TCCTTAGCATCACACCCCTGTGCCTGGACAACTTGTGTCAATATGGCGTCTTTTCATGAAGTATTTTAACTGCTATCCCTACCAGTCCTTCTCCCTAACTGGACTGCAAACCCATGGAGACAAGGCCGCTGCTACCTCTGTGATTCTGGCGTAGGCTGCAGTGGCCAGGGTACGGCAGGTACGCATTAAACATTGGTGGGTTTGAGCTGTCCAGTCCTACCATATATTCAACTCTGCTTAAGGCACACCCATGACAGCCACCTCAATGGAGGTGTTATTTCTATCTCGATTTTAAACACACTGCTGTTTCTAGACTCATCCTTGCTGGACGGGCACAGGCCATATCCTTGTACATATCCAGGTCATTTCTTTTCCTGCGGAGGTCGGCTTACCATTTAAGAAATCACAAGAGGTCGAGCCAGGATGGTTCAGTGGTTGAGCATCAACCTATGAACCAGGAGGTCACTGTTCCATTCCTGGTCAGGGCACATGCCCAGATTGCAAGGTTGGTCCCCAGTAGGGGGTGTGCAGGAGGCAGCCAATCAATGATTCTCTCTCATTGATATTTCCATTTCCTTCTCTCCCTCTCTTTTCTTCTCCAAAATCAATAATATACATACATATATATATATATATAATATATATATATATTATATATATATAGTCAATAAAAAAATATATTATACACACACACACACACACTAGAGGCCCGGTGCACAAAAATTTGTGCACTTGGGGAGGTCCCTCAGCCCGACCTATGCCCTCTTGCAGTCTGGGACCCCTCGGAGGATGTCCACCTGCTGGTTTAGGCCCACTCCCTGGGGGATTGGGCCCAAGCTGGCAATCAGACATCCGTCTGGCAGCCCGGCAGCCCTCGGGGGATGTCCACTTGCCAGTAGGGAGCAGGCCTAAACTGCAGTTGGACATCCTTAGTGCTGCTGAGGAGGCAGGAGAGGCTCCCACCACCACCGCTGTACTGGCAGCCTTCAGCCTGGCTTGTGGCTGAGCAGAGCTCCTCCTGTGGGAACGCACTGACCACCAGAGGGCAACTCCTGCATTGAGCGTCTGCCCCCTGGTGGTCAGTGTGTGTCATAGTGACCAGTCATTCCCAGTCATTCTCCTGTTAGGGTCAGTTTGCATATTACCCTTTTATTATATAGGATAGAGGCCTGGTGCATGAGTGGGGGCCGGCTGGTTTGCCCTGAAGGGTGTCCCAGATCAGGGTGGGGGTCCTGCTGGGGTGCCTGGCCAGCCTGGGTGAGGGGCTGATGGCTGTTTGCAGCTGGTCACACCCCCTTCAGGGTGGGGTTCCCCACTGGGGTGCCTGGCCAGACTGGGTGAGGTGCTGAGGGCCATTTTCAGGTTGGCCAAGCCCCCTGGCGATGGAAGCTCCCAGCCTCCTTTTTTTTTATTTTTTTATTCTGGGATTTATTTACCTTCTACAATTGAAACTTTGTAGCCTTGAGAGGAACTCAGAGCTGGCCAGGGCGGGCAGGAGGGAAGCCTCCTGCTCGCTCCAGCTCCGTGGCCACGGCCAGCTGAAAGCAGGTATCTGGTGTTTATTTACCTTCTATAATTGAAACTTTGTTGCTTTGAGTGAAGCTCAGAGATCACCGTGACAAGCAGGAAGCTTGGCTTCCTCCATCATTGGGGCAACCAAGCTTCCTGCTTGCTCCAGCTCCGTGGCTGCCGGCCGCCATCTTGGTTGGGTTAATTTGCATATAGTCGCTCTGATTGGCTGGTGGGCGTGGTTTAAGGTGTAGCAAAAGTATGGTCAATTTGCATGTTTGTCTTTTATTAGTGTAGATATATATAATCTTTTTAAAAGAAATCACCAGAGGCAGAAAAAGTTTAGTGTAGTGAACTTACAGTTAGAAAACAGGGTTCCACTCTTTCAGATCTACCACTTATTTTTAGCTGTCGCCCTCAAACACATCTCTTAAATTCCCTGCGTCCCAGTTTCTTCATCTGTAAAATAAAGTGAGTTGTAAGGGCTATGTGAAATAAAAAATGCAGGCTGTTCGGCACAGTACCTGGTGCATGAACTTGTAGTCATTAGTCCCTACTCAGATTATGAGCTCTGTTGTTGTTATGTTGTTCGGCTTCCATAGCAGCAGTGTAGATTGGCAGTGCTATCCATACATTGCGGGAAAATGAATATTTTTCCTGAAATGAAATAGAATGGAAAAAGGTATTTGTACAGTTGCCAATTTCAGCAGCTTGCAGAAACTTCATAACACGGTGTTGCTTAAAATAAAAGAGCCGGTACAATAGCACGAGATGCTAATACAAGAAGAGGACTAGAGATGAATCTGTGGATAACCTCCTTCTACCTAGATACGTAGATAAACACAGAGGATTTTATGTTGGTATCACTTAGCCAGCATACCACCAGGTTGTTTATAAGCATTTTGTCTTGGAGTTGCTGTAAATGTCACTGAAAGGAGGGTTTAAGAGGCATTTTACAGTGAATGCTCTTTGCTATTGATCAGACTTAAAAAGTACTTGTGTCTTTTGAAGCTCTCTTTTGCCCTTGAAAACATCTCCTCCACGTTCTTCAGAACAGTTCCTCGAAACGCCATCCCCAGATGTCCACGTGTGGGGGGTGTTCATCAGATAAGATTTTGGCAGAAAGTCCTGAGTAAAGTTATTTTGCTATAAATCCAGGCCCGTTCTGATTAAAATAGCCCAAGAACATGCAGCTACAAGCATGTGGCAGGGTGCCGTTTGCTCTTAGAAGCAATTAACCGACATAAGAACAGTTGTAAAACTTGTAACATGTGGCCGCCCCTACAGCTTAAACAGTAAACTCTGTGCCACATGGCGAAAGCTCTGTCTCATATCTGCCTTTTCATTAGTGTTTGTAGTAGCAACACAGTTCTGTTGTTAGGTATGTAGCCTGTTGAGGAGAGAGGACCCTTCAGTTTGGGGGAACACAAACATTGGGCCTAGAACTTTCCATGTTGAAATTTCTGTGTTTAATTTTCACTCACACTGGCGTGTCTGTGTGTGTGCAATGCAACATGTGCCTGTTTGTGTTTCAAATAATAGTCTATCTCTCAATAGTAAATGATGACATTATTTTAGAAGGAAATATTAGTGCCTTCGACTTACCCAGTCATCACTTAGAAAAATTGTTACCTGCAGACAGGATAGTTCAGTTTGCTTTCTTCTGAGTAGCAGTGGAAGTATCATTCATGCATCCGGGCAGTGTCTATTGAGGGCCTGTAATGTATAAAGCACTGTGTGGGAGGTAGGAAGAATCAGACCTGAGTCCTACTCCTCAAGGTACTTACAATCCAGGAGAGAGAATATGCATATAAATAACTGTAATACAAAATGAAAGATGATTAATGATAGTGTAAACAAGGATTGGACAATATACTCTTGGAGTTACAAACCTACACACACACATATATACACGTTTCAATCCTCTGTTCTCATATCCTTGAGAAATTCCCTAACGATGGGGCTCATATTGTCACTATAGGCCCCCAAATAAAAATCATTTTAGACTGGGCTCTTATTGGGGGTCCTGAGGAACCAGGGTCATGTTGTGTTTCTTCAGTGAAAGAGAATTACTGGTAAGTTTAACACAATTCTAACTCTGGAATTTAAAAGCATATATGTTTACTTAAAGGTTTTCATTGGATATGATTTTGATGCTTTTTATAATGGAGAAATCTCCAAATTTAAAAAAAGAGAGGTAGTGTTCCATATGTTTGTTAAAGTTCTTTTTGAAACAAACAATATTGAGAGCTTACTACATGCCAGGTACAGAGTAGAGGACAGTGAGCAAGAGATTAGAATCCCACTTTCATGAAAACTTGGAGTTTAGTGAAAAGATGAGTGATGTACAATTAAATAAATGAACAAGATAGCGTGTCTGATAGGCCTAAGTGTTAAGGAGGAAATAAAATAGGCAGTGGGAACAATACAAAACAGACAGTTGTATATGAATTTTGTTCATAATACAAAATAGAAGGTGCTAAATGGGTCAGAGAAGGCCCATTTGAAGAGGTGAAATTTATTCTGAGATCACAGGGATGCACAAGACTCTCCAGAAAGAAATCTGTTCTTGGCAGAGGGAGCAGCAAGTACAAAGGCCCTGAGGTAGAAACAAGTCAGCCTGTTCAAGGAACAGGAGGAAGCTTTGTGTGGCTGGGACATTGTGAGTGAGGCTGAATAGGGAGGTGGGGTGCTGGTAGGTCACAGTAAGGAGTTATCACAGCAAATAGTTCCAATAGCAAGGCTATTGCACAAAAGTCCATTTATCTCAAATTGAAGCTGAACTCTAGTATTAACACTAGGTTGGAAACCGGATCCTGAAAGCATTGCTGCCGGGGAAAGAGAAGAAGAAGAAAATTTCTGTTTCCTTTTCTGACAGATTTTAAAAAGTAAACACACCTTGTACATTGTCTGTGTCATCATCTCGTTATCTTACCTCTTTATCTAAGCAGCAGGTGTTCTTTTGATTCTTTAATGTTCTTCCCCATTGTGGTCCCCCTTCTCTGTTATATCCCTACTAGAGGCCTGGTGCACGAAATTTGTGCATGGTTGGAAGGGGGGGTTGTCCTTCAGCCCAGCCTGCACCCTCTCCAATCTGGGACCCCTTGGGGGATGTCTGACTGATCGGGCCTACACCGGCAGTCGGACATCCCTCTCACAATCCGGGACTGCTGGCTCCTAACCACTCGCCTGCCTGCCAGCCTGATCACCCCCAACTGCTCCCTTGCTGGCCTGATCGCCCCCTAACTGCCCTCCCCTGCTGGCCTGATTGCCCCCAGCTGCCCTCCCCTGCAGGCCTGGTTGCACCCAACTGCCCTCCCCTGTGGGCCATCTTGTGACCATCTTGTGGCGGCCATCTTATGACCATGTCGTGTGAGGGTGTCACACAACGCCACATAGGCTTTTATTATATAGGATGGTCCTTCCTTGTCTTGCAGTTCACCTTTCTTCCCCTTTTAACCATTCTCAATTAAAACTCTCATTTCTTCCAGGCAGCCAATTACAGCTGGTGGCCAGAGAGCAAATCTGATCCCTAGAGTGAATAAAAAGGGTATGTTTTCTGGCCTGCTTATAGAATTATTTGTCTTTTTAGAAGAGTGTTTGTTAAGCCAAATGAACCTCATTTTAATGAACCAGATGATAAAATAGAGATGAGTAAACAATTTTCGAGGCTTGGAGGATGACATTTTTTGGAAAGGGGAGACCCAGCCTTGCTTGCTTGGGAGTTTGCGTCTGTGGTTAAAGCAGGGTCTGTTTTTTATGGCTTCTTCCTCTCTTCCACTCGCTGATTCTCTCAGGGTTTCTGTGTATATCCATCAAGGTCCTTTGGCAGCACAACAGGAAGTCCCGTATGTGGGAGAAATGTGCCGGGTCAGAGATGGGTTGGGGGGTGAGGGTGGGAGAGTGGGGGCTCTTTGGTTTCATCAGTTGTTTGTCAATTGACTATGAATTGAGAGCTAACTATACACAGGTATTTTACTTGGGAAGTTGCACCTGCAGTTGGGGGGATACAAAGAATGGAGGATGGTTGACCTTTGTTCCTGTGTCTGTTTCACTTGCACTCTATGTTCATGCAGATGGAGGCGGGGCAGTTCTGCATCATGGTAATGCTGAAAGGCCAGCATCACACAGAAGATCACTCCGGGCTCCTAATTAAAATTATGGCTGGGAATTGCTTCCTTATGCGTAGCTCAAATTGCCTTCGCAATCATTTCACTTTATAACTTTCAGTTAATCCTCTCCTCACCACCCTCAAGAATCCTTCCTCGTCCTTGAAGTTGACTCCTTTGAAATCTTTATGGGCAGTCCTGGTTTCCCCCTGAGCTATGGGTATCCTGATACTTTGTTCCCACAAGGCCTCAAGTTTGTAAGCAAAAACAGTCTTCGCTCCCTCTTCTCCCATTGCACTTTTAATGAGTTCTGGGTCTGGAACACGACTGGATTTCATGTTGCGGTCAGTGTTATAAATTAGCGGAGCCTTGCTGATACTCATTCTCCCTAATGAATTCGTTGCTAACTGTCTTTCAGGCCAAGACTGCCACATACTGTTTACCCTAATTAGTATTCTCTAATGGTAATCAGGTGACCAATAACTCACAGGTTTTACAAAACGAGCACTTATTATTCCATTTCATCAGTTTTAGTAGGAAAATTACATATAATGATATTCTCCTTGGGATTCCAACTAAAGTGTTTTTTTTAGCCAAGAAACATCTGATCATGAGAACAGTATGATCAAAGAATTGTGTTTTTTAATCAATATTGTATGTGGTCAGCCCCGGACCCATGTGTTCCAGGTGAGATTGCTTAGTACAATAAATTTGAAGGTTTCTGTGTTGAATTTTTTCTTGCATCGAATTTTAAGAATTGCACCAAACAGTAGTACATTGAGAGAACCACGCTGTTGCTTCAGTAGAGGAAACCTCTGAGAAAGAATGCCCATGGCAAAGCCACAGCCCGGTTTTCCAACCCAGAGATTAGAAAAATCAGGCAATATTTGATTCTCTAAAAGAATGGTTACAGAACTCTTAGCAAATTGTAGGATACTGCTCTGGGATAAGCTCTGCAGATTTGTGGTTGGTGCTGAGAATGCTTAGTTGGTCATTTGTTGAATGAACAAAAGAATGTTGTGTCTTTGTGTCCAGAGCTTTGTCAATATATGCAGGGGGCAGGGTGGAGGGGCCAAATATCTGTCCTTTTTGCTTGTTTTCTACAGGAAAAAGGGAAGGAAAATGAGATGATAATTATAATTTTCAGGATGTTTAAAATTTTTATAACCATCTAGTGCCTACTGTGGTATTATTTATGTAAGGAGAGAAGATTGTGGTGAAATAAAACATGCTTTGGAAAGGGCTGGCCAAACTTTCATTATTTCCCTAACCTTGGGTACCAAGAGGAAAGTTGGTTGTGCATAGTCAGGTCATTTATATAGATGTTTTTGTTGAAGTGACTGAGAACAATTTTGAGGGCTTTCTGTCCTTGTGAATGTACAAATCACAGACCTACAGTTCAATCATATTGTACTTAGGGTGCTCAGTCTTACAGAAACGATTGAGTAATTTTTAATGTTAAGAATAATTAGGCCAGAAGGGATCAATATGGGGGCCAGGGGGTGGGAATGGGACATATGTGTAATACTTTAAACTAAAGATTTTTTAACACAGAATAATTTGGCTTAGAAACTATTGTGATAGGTCAGGGCATCTTAAAAATTTTCGGTTACAAATTCCCTCTCCCCTCCTCTCTGAACTCAATAAAAATATATTAAAAACTAAAAAAAAAAAAAAAAATTTTTTTTCGGTTACATTACAAACTTAGACTATCTGATGTCAGGCCTGGGAATTTTTGTTTCCAGTCATGGTGGGTTCTTTGACTTGATGATGATAAGCCCAGTGTGTGACCATGCCCATCACTCTCAAAGAGCTGTTACTTGAAGAATTCCCACAATACATCACTTTGACTTGGCATGATCATAGTAAGGAATCCTGGCGTGGGATTCAATTGTAAAGCAGTTCTCAAGCCAAATATTATATGGTTAAATTATTCCCTGTTCTGTGGCCCAACATGCATACATTTTGTATTCTGTCCAATCTCCTATTGTGTTCAAAAGATTAAGGGATGTGGTGGGAGGAAATGGTGAGTGAGCACCGTGAGAGAGCTAGCTCCCACCTGGACTTTGGATGACGTTGGAGTAGTACTTTAGAGCTTCACATGTATTATCCCACTTGGCCCTTGGAAATCAGCAAAACAGATATTATTTATTAGCATCATTTTCCAGATGAGGGAACAAGCATACAAAAATGAAAGGGTTTACTTAAGTTTGTGTGGCTACTAAATGTTGCAGCCATTGCAGGCTCTCTGATAGCGGGTCCTATAGGGAGTATGAATGTGGGCTAGTCACATAAACTCATGTTTAGAAAATACGCAAGAATTTGCTTTTCAAGTTATGGTGTGTGTATTCTGTGAAATGCATTTATGTTTTGACCACTGACTGATTGAATAGAATTAAAGTTTACAGACTCTCAGGGCATGTAAAAAAAATGTTTGGTCTCAATTTTATTTCAGCAGAGTCTTTTAGCCCCCTTTGAATTCAATTAGAAAACCTTGGCCTAATAAATTTTTTTAAAGTAAATACTTTGTTATATTAATACACTGTATATATGTCTACAGGCCTTCAAGTAATGTATATACATTCATTAAAATGAACTAATGAACTAATAAAACTTACTAATAAACTGTATCTATGTTAAATCATTGTAATAAAAACAATAATGAGATTTTTAGCATACTTGTACAAATGGTACAAATATTTGTACTTATGCAGTGGCCACATGAATAGAATTTTAATTTCTTGATTAAAAAACAACCCTTAGACAGTAAAGTTAATGTTTAGACCTCTGTCATTTTATACTTAAAAGAATCAAGGAATGGTAGAAGGATTTTGACAGTGTTTTTAGATATAAAAAACACATCATACAATAACTACATGTACTCTGTCCCCACTATTTAAATAAAAAGTGTGTGTGTGTGTGTGTGTATGTTTGTGTGTGTATGTAGAGTCAGCAAGTTATCTGAAAGAATATAATGCACTAAGTAATCTCAGGATTGTATGTATTTTTACTTCCCCCCTTTTACTTTTCCATTTTTTCCCCCAAAGAACATGTGTAATTTTGTAATCAGAAGAAGTTACTTCGTCAAAAGTTACTTTAATGAAAGATATACAAACTTCTTCCCAACTACAATTCTCCAGCTTTGACACACACATAGAGAAAAAGAACTTGCAGTACTTTTGCTGTAGTATTGCTTTATTTTCCTGAGTGAAAAAAAACACCTCTCTCATTACCCCTTTTTAATACCCCTTGGAAGAAATTACCATGTTGGTAATTTAAATACAAACCACCCAGATGTGCTTATTCAACAGGCAGAATGCTGGACCCCAATTTACATGAATCAAATGTTTGTTAAAGGGGCCCCAAAATTTTCATTTTTATCAGGCATCACAAATTATTCTAATGCCCAATTCATTTGAGATTCACTCTTCTGTTTAAAGCATCTCCTAGATTCTTTTTTTCATCTTCAAAGTTGTTGAACGGATGCCCACACACATTCGTTTTATTGTCAGGAACACTAAGAGATTAAGTGTTCTCTCTTAATATAAGAATTCGATGGAGTCATTCATTCAGCAAGGATTTTTGGAGTATTTACAGCGAGTCCTCCTTTAAGATCCTCTAGTCGCCACCCTAGGGAGCACCTGTGGTTTAGGATGGAGCCCTGACAGTGTTGGAATGGGTCCAGGAAGAGAGACTAGATCCCACAACTCAGTGACTATCAGACCCTCTCTCAGAAGGCTACACCAAATGAGTTTCCTAAAGAGTAACTATCTTTCTTCTTTTCATTTCTCTCTTAGCTGGAACAATTGGTTATTTTAAGAAATCAGTAAATCAGCATCTTGTGTCCTGAGTGGTGCATTCTTTGGAAAAAGTTACTGTGTCAGGAATTCACACAAATTAGTGTGTTTATTTTGAATGCATGCCATCATGCTGAAGGTACAGTGCAAAGATCCTCGGTTTGCTGTTGATTGAAATAATCTGCAGCAAGTTAGTGCTAAGCATAAACTCGGAGACACACCATCTTGCTGAATTGGCTGGGGAAGGTGGCTCTCTAATTTAGCTTGCATAGAACCACCTGGACGGCTGATTAAAACACAGATTTCTGGGCCCAATGCCAGATTTCTAATTCAGTGAGCATGGGGCTAGGCCCCATAATAGGCATTTCTAATAAGTTCCCAGGTATTGCTGATGCTGCTTCCAGAACCCAGGCCTAAAAGAAACATCTTAGCAACCCAGACTGCAGTCACATGTATAACCTGTTGATTTTTAACTCAAAATTTTATAAAGCTTCCTTGAACTGGCATTAGATGCTGCAAATAACGGGGAATCCTCTTTTGAATGGAGTGGTTGGCCACCTTTTTTCTTTTTGACATTTGTCTCCACTTTGATGAACTAAACTGTTGGGCACTTTTATTTTCTTTTTAGACTCCCAGCTTAATGA